TGTACCTGCAAAGCATGAAAGTGGTGATCGAGACGCCGCACCGCAGATACGACATTCCTCAGTTCGAGATGCCAGAGGTACGGACACACTAAGGGCTACTGCACTCTGAGGCCGCGCTTCGTGAAGTGCGGCCAGAACCACCTCACCGCGGAGTGTAGGAAAGATAAATCAAGTGAAGCAACATGTGTACTGTGCAGCGGCAAACACCCTGCCAACTACAAGGGCTGTACAGTATACAAAGAGATGCAGAGAAAGAAATTCCCGAGACTGAGGGAGAAGAAATTACCACCGACCAGTGCGCCGTCGCAACCTCAGCAGCCCCAACCGAAGGAATACCCGAGGATAAAACCAGGCTTTTCGTACGCTGACGCGGCCAGAGACAAAACAAACACCAAAAACACAGCCCATAAGCGAAGAGCAATTCAGCCCACAACAAAACCCGGTAGCACGGATGGAGCTTATGATAGCTAAGCTATTTGACAAAATCATCACGCTACTCAATGTCGTGTTGGCTCTCGTGTCAAAGTTAACGTAATAGCTAAATCAATTCGCCTGGTCCTGTGGAACGCCAACGGTTTAGCTCAGCACAACGACGAGCTAAACTCTTTCCTCGCCAACCAGAGGGTGGACGTGATGATGATTTCGGAGACGCATCTCACGGACAGGAGCTATGCGACCAACTACACCATGTACAGCTCTAACCACCCGGACGGAACCGCGCACGGAGGGACGGCGATTCTAATAAAAAATTCCTTCAAACACCACGAAATTCCGAGTTACGTCAGCGAACACCTGCAGGGTACGAACGTGGTCGTGGAGAACTTGTATGGTCATCTAACTATATCCGCAGTGTACTGCCCGCCGAAACATTCCAACAGGCAGGAGCAGTTTAAGGACTTCTTCGACACGCTCGGCCCATGATTCATAGCAGGTGGTGACTGACGACGGACGACGAGGTGGTGGAGTACCTATCCGGCTTGCTGGAAGAGGACTTCGCCAGGGATGGGGGTGACATTCGGTCACTCTGGAGCAGGGCGCGGACTGCGACCCGCCGGCTGAACATTGACCACCGGGTCGTTTGGAGGCACGACGCGGTTCGCGGGGAGCTCGACATCCACACAGAGGGAAGGAACCGGACCATCATCTCGCCGACATCGCGCGGTCTCCTGGAGGGGACGCTCAAGGCGGCGTTGCGGCGTGACTACACCGACCGCCTGAAGGACAAGTCGGACCAAGGAAAAGTCTTCCGCGCCAGCTCGCTGTGGTCGTCTAGTGACCACTTTGTTAGGACGGGGTTTGCCACCCGGTTCAGCGACTGGCGGTTCATCCACAGGGCCAGGATGGGCTGCGTCCCTCTCAACGCGACCAGGAGGTTTGGAACTGGCGACAAGCGATGTAGGAGGTGCGGCACAATGGAGACCCTACCGCACGTGCTCAACCATTGCAGGATGCACTCCGCTGCCTGGCAGCGGCGACACAACGCCGTACAGGACCGGCTCGTAAAAGCATCAGCGTCAGGGTAAACCAGCGACTAACCCTGGTGCAGTGTGACCTCCGGCCGAACATCCAGATCGTGGACGAGGGAAGGAAGCGCGTCGTCCTCATCGACGTGGCCATTCCCTTCGAGGATGGTCCAGAGGCCCTCCTGAGGTGTCGCATCCAAAAGCTTGATAAGTACATGCCGCTCGCTGCCAGCCTGGAGTCGGCCGGCTACCAGACAGAAGTCCACGTTCTCCTGGTCGGGGCCTTGGGGTCATGGGACCTGGCGAACGAGCCCGTATTACGTGTGGCTGGCGTCCATCGCCGATTTGCTCCCCTGATGCGGAAGCTTATGACGTCCGACGTTATCAGGTGGAGCAGGGACATATACGTCGAACATGTTAGCGGACGCCGCCAATATTGATTATTCGCGTTTTTTTGTATATATGAAACACTATTACTTTAACCATTGTTTAATTTTTGATTTTCTTTATAATAAAATTTTATTTAAACAATCCTTCTCACATCTTGATTTTTCACCATTCTTGATCTAACGCCTAACGTCGCCTACATTTGTAACAAGTCGGATTGACGATCGTGCACTACACATAAATTTCAACTACTGGCTGGACGTGATGACCTTAATATAAGAAGGTCACTTTGAGAGGAAAAACTCATTTACTTTCTGTTCACCCCAGAGCACAACGTTTCTTCTCATCTTTCCCGAAACACATATTGTATGGAGGAACGTAGCTTTTGTATATTATTTTTTTTTACTAATTCCATAGACATTTTATATAAAATCAATCAAATAAATTATAATAATATGCACTTTGATAAAAAAATAAATATACAACTTACATAAGTCGTTTTTATAATTTATGATGACATTTACATATGATAATGGAATTGATAACAATAGAATTAAATCAAATTATTTCCATATGTCAATTAATTTATTAACACATTAAGTGGTATGACAGATAAAAGTCATATTTAAAATAATGCACTTTATTGATTTGTTATTCTGTACTCTCGAAATGATTTATCTAGTGAAAATCTTGAAATATTTATAGATTTCAGATTTGTATCTTACAATGTTTATTCAATAGCAGATTCTAATCAAAGATTTATTTACTTTTAATCCAGAATTATTTTTTATGCATAAAGTTTACAGCAAATTTATAAATAATAATACAATAATGATCTTCAACTATTGCTAAATGGAAGTATTTATTGTTTCTAAAGCCGTTGTTACAATTTTGTAGATATATTCTAATATCTATTTCTTAATATTTAAGTCCGGATAATTCTAGAATTGTGTTGAATTTATTCATAATTTATTATTGATCCTAATTTGGATCAGAAGATTCTCTGTTGTGTGTAATTTTGTGGTTATTGCAACAAATATTTTTTATTATCTATAGTAATAAATAAATCAGAAGTTTTTATTTATAATTATAGAATAACTATCCAAAATAAGGCCCATAGAAATATGTAAATAATTATTTGAAAGACTAATCAATATAAGATTTCAAATATTGAATCGTCTTGCAATTAAAATTGACCATATTGAAATGAGTGTTATCTTATCGCTGCATTTGATAAAAGAAAGCGCTTTTTAGCATCATATATAAAACAGCAGATTTTCTCTGGCAATCATTACAAATAACACAGTTAACCATGAATCGCTGGGAAGGAAAAGTTGCCATCGTAACCGGCGCTAGCTCCGGTATTGGAGCAGCAATCGCCGAAGATCTCGTCAAATTTGGAGTTATTGTAAGTATTGAAGACTTAAATTAGAAAGAATTAATTATTATTAACTAGCATTAACTTTGCAGGTGGCAGGTATGGCGCGTCGAGTCGATAGGATGAAGGAAATGTCCGAACGGTTTGCTAAGTACCCAGGAAAGTTCCATGCACTCAAAACAGATTTAGCAAGCACAGACGAAATTCTCGCATCACTGAAATGGGTGAAAGACAATTTGGGCCCTATTCATATTCTAGTGAACAACGCCGGTTTCCTCGCAGAAGGTGGCACCTTCAATGCCGATCTGGATGTTTGGAAGTCGCAAATGGACACTATGCTCTTAGCCCCGTGCATTTTGAGTCAAGAGTCCATCAAGGACATGATTGCCAATAATGTGGATGGGCATATTGTCAACGTGAACAGTATCTACGGACACGTGGTCAATCATCCGTATGGCTTGGAGATGGGAATCTATCCAGCCGTTAAACACGGAATAAGTGCCATCACCGAAACCACCAGACAGGAGTTGGTGATGAAAGGAAAGAAAATTAAAATTTCCGTAAAAATCTTCAATTTAATTGTATTACTCAATAATTTTATATTCGTTATTTTTAGGCAATTTCACCAGGATTAACGGGATCCGAACTCTTCAAAGTTGATATCTCTCAAATTCCGCAGGTGAAGTGTTCCGATATCTCCGATGCTGTGATGTACATACTTGCCACACCCCCGCACGTACAAGTATGACTTTATATAAATCTATATTTAGAAGAAGCTAATTTCGCGATTTTATTTACAGATCCACGATCTTATTATCAAGCCAGTTGGAGAGACTATTTAGATTTAATCTTACAATAATAAAAATACAATATTTACTGACATGACGTTGTAATTTATTTATTTATTAACATTATATAGAAAGTAATTATAATCAAATGGAATTTTCTATGCAAAATTTCATTAACTGCAAAAATATAGAAAAGCTTTAAAGTGAGTTGAAATGGAATGGACATTTTCTTTATTATATCAATGATCATCATATAGAATTGTCATTAACCGAGAAACTAGTCTATGATTGGCTCTGCCTCAAGCGCTTTGAAAGGGTTTCACGTGCAGTTGAAGGACTGCAGCTACTTTGGAAGGATTATAAGATCAATTTCCGTCATGAGGTATAGTAGGTGTGGTAGTTGGCAGAGTTTTACAATAGTTTTTCTACCAAGCCTCAAAGAGTGGAGTTTCAGCTTCCAATAAATCAAACATTGAAGAGTAAAGGCAAACGAAATAAAGTTCCTAAAAATTAAATTAAAAAAACGATATAATACAGTGATTCGAATCAAAAACTCTAAGGATAATCATCATAGTATTCAACAAATGATGATATTCATAGCCAATATCAACCTGGTTCAAAAAGAAATCCACCCAGATGATCTTGTTTGTTGGAAACTTAATAGTTTCAAACGGCAAGATATGCCAAACCGTTTGACTGATAATTTAAATAACATATTGGCATTTGAGATCAGTTAAGAAAATCTATGTGAAAGTTGGATATTTGACTAAGGTCATCAATTAAGCTTGTTATTATTATAGATCGACTATTATAAATATATACATATAATAAGCATTTAATATTCGTTGTTTTAAGAAAATTTGATAAGGATCCGAACACTTCAAACTTAATATCTCTGATATTCCACAGTTGAAGTGTTCCGATATATCCGTGATCTACATACTTACCACACCCCCGCACGTACATATTCGACTTAAATCTATATTCAGAATAAACTATTTTCACAATATTCTTGCAGATTAATAATCTTATTACTATGATTATTTCCTATCGAAATAGTGAATCCTGATTTAGGAACAAGTGTGATTGTCAAGCGAAGCAATATTTTCGTATAGGAAATTGTTAAATAAAAGAGAAAAGGCCTAAACAATAAACTTTAGAATCATTTCGTAAAATTATTGAAATTTAATTAAATATTGTACTAATAAATAATAATTATTGATATTGGAAAGAAAACGTTAACCAAGATAAGTATCTCAGAATAATCTGGATTTATTGTTCTCATTCATTGATGCAATTTTATCAATTAGATAATTCAAATAACGAATTCCTATTGACAAGTTCCCATTTCCCGTACAAAGGATTACCGATCTTTATCAATTTTGATACATATCAATCTGGATTATCATTTGAAAATGATTAAATCACCTTTTATATCGGATTAATAAAGATGATCCATATCGATTATATAATACGTAACTTATCTTATTATTTTACAATATTTCAATACATGATTGTGTTAGTCTTTAGGTGAAAAAAAAATATGTGAAAAAGTAGCAACAAGTCCAGATTATTAATTACAGTATAGCTTTTAAGATCTGTTATCATTAATGTCAACAATCGAAGTCAACCAAAATTAGATGTCCAGTTTATAAAGATCATAATGAAATATTGGGTCCGCAAAATAAAAAATAAAATAAAACTCTTTATTTGTGTACAAAGAATGAACTTGAACCAATTATATATTTTACATTTTGTCCTATGACCTTCATGATTCCGGGCTCATAAAACTGCTGATCTTTTCAAATACAAAATTAAACAATGTGATTTCATTTCATCATAATTAGTAAATGTTTTACCATTAAAAGAGTTTTGAAAACTTTGAAATAAATGGTAATTTAGTTGTGACAGTCAGTACCAGTTGAGGGATGCAACAACTACAAGGTCAGCAAAGTTGCTCAGCACTACTTGTGCACACTATTTTAAACACTTTTCTTAATCATCATAACAAAACTCTGACATGTAATTTTATATTTAAAAAAAATATGGTACGGCCTTGGCCAAGAATAGATGACAATCACTCTAAATAGCCGAAAGTCATCATATTTTTGTAGAATAAAGAAACCTCAAAAATCAATCAGCACTACTTGTACACAGATTGTTGATGACTTTCCAAGTTCAAAAAAAACGTAGCGTTCAGTGGATACTTCGATTTTCCATGAATGTGAAATCGTAAGCATTTTTGATATTAAAAACAATTATTTTTTGAGGACAATTAATCTAGCTTACTTAATAATTATTAGATAAAACAAGAGAATAAAATGAACAACATTATTTACTCTTTGGAGCATAGAATTGAACTGAAAAATTAGACCAATCTTGCTTAGAGATTATATCTAACAAAATATCTATCAGCAAATATTAATTTTCATTATTTAGCATTATGTAAAAGTAATAGTAAAAAATTAAAAGTCATCCTCTTAATTTTATTGTTAAATGGTGGGACCGTGTAGTTTCACTGTGCAGGAACAGAACTAAAGTAGAAAAATATAATTTCATAAGATCTTATAACTTTTATATTATGCATGAAATACTTGATTCTTTGTTTTTAATGCTTCAAAATGCACATCTTCTTTGGGTCTACATCCTAGGTTTTTTAGATTCCATTTTTCTAATCTCTGAAATTCTACTATTTTGTATAGCTTTATTTGATGTAGTACACACATTCTTAATGTTTGAGTCATAAATTCTTGCACACTTTATCCATTGACATTTTTAAATTATATTTTTTTTTATTATGTCATATAATTTTATTCACAATCTGATCATCAATGTGAACATTTAGTAAATTTAAGATCGCGGTTGACATTAAATGGATAATCTTTCCCGGTGGATAGTTACCATTATGATGATTTTTTATTTTAAATTTGTTGGTTGGCTGTTGTCTTGTAGTTTAACTTCAGTAGTAGTATTGATGCTCTGCGATTCCACTATTTCCTTTGACTGTGAATCTGCTGCTATCCTTAACACTGCCATTGTCCATCGACTTGGCTGGAGGTCGACTTGCTGAACCTCATTCATTTCACTGTCTATCTGTGATGAACGATGGCCCTATTGCTGCAAGCACCGAGAGGGCTCACAAAGGACCTGGCTTTACCAAGATTTGAATTTGCGCCCACTAACTCGTGGGTAGGGCGACTTAACCATTCGGCTGTTAGTCGCCCTTTTTTAAATAATATTTATATAAATTTCTTGCTGCGATAATATATGATATTATGTTTTGTCATAAATTGTTCAAACTTATATAAGTAATGAACAATTTATTGATATTTTAGATCCATCCATCCTTTTTCTTCCATAACACATACACATCTCTATTGTCAGATATTTTTTTTTGCATTGATTCCTGTATTGCTTACAAATTATTGAAAATTTCGTCCGATTTTTTGCTTATTTGAACTGTCATAGTGTGTATTGCCATTGGCATTAATTCCTCTGAAAATATTTAAAAACCCAAATCAGATTCTAAAACTTAATAATTATGATTTTTTTCAGTATTCCCACCATGTGGAATTGTCAAAAACTAGTTAAGATTCTAGTAATAGAATAAATAGTCTTTTAACTGGAAAACCAAATATAAATCTCAAACTAAATATACTCTGCCATATGTTTTGATATGTACCTGCAATAAAATAAAATTTCTGGTTTTATGCTGATTTTTTATATTTCATTAGTAAAAAATATATATTCTATGTACATTTTTATAGTAAATAAAAAAATCATTCATTTTTTAAGCACATCCAAAATAAATCAATTTTTATTTGATATACTAAACATACGTACCGTGACTTGTATTTAACATACACATTTATAAATTCTTCCATTAGCTGAAAATCAAACATCAAAACTTAATATATCTAATAGTTTGAGATGTTGATTTTTAATATCATTATAGTCTAATATATTGAATTTATTACTAATAATTTATTTCAATTTATTACTAATTAAATAACATTGAGTAAATGTAGAATAAAATATATTTTTACATTAAAATATAAATATAATCGAGAGGAAGTCACATTTTAAGCGAATTTATATTTGAATTAAAAATGGTGCAGGAATGATGCCAATAATTTGAGGAATATAGAAATCTGAAAGCTTTTTTTAATCCTCGCTAATTTCTAAATTACAAGACAAACTTAGATTTTCCATTTTGATTGGAATATCTCCAAAAAAAAGTTATTTAAATCCTCTACTACATCTTCGGTTGCAACATGAGGTTTCTTATCTGGATGTGGCGATAAATTTAAACTCTTACATTTCATCTGTTAATTTTGTTAATCAAAAACAAGCAGTAATATTCCCAATACAAAATTAATTATAATTAACTACACCAAACTAATTTAATACAAGAAAAATGTGTGACATCCTTTTCATATTTTGATTGATCAAAATTTTGAATACTAGTACTTTTGCACATCAATTCCTGATTATTCCTATAAGGAAATGGTCACAAAAATTATACTTTCTAAATTATTAATAATTAATCTCTTCAAATTTGTTATTTTCGAGGTTTTCTTTTCTCTGTGTCGGTGACCTCTGCCATACGCGTCTTTTTGTCAGTTCCTATTTCGATAAATTACTCTATTTTCTACATATGTACCAAATATATATTACCTGACAATTTTGAAAGGTGTTCCTTAGTCGTATCGAAGGCTGGTAAATTCATTATATTTGAATTATCCGTTTTAACACTAGATATATTCACGATGCATAGTATCACGCTCAGCGTTTTGCCAAATAAATGCATATTTTCCTCCAGAAGTCTTATTGATCTATTCCAAAGATATATTTCAAAATATTCTGCTTGAAATAACCATAACGCCATGTTGGGATCATTGTCCATTTGTCTTACTTCTAATTGTTTTATAGAGCATGTATTTCGACTTTATATCATTTTTCTTCGAGTCTCAAACTGAATCAAATACTGCGTTATTTCAAAGTCCATTGTTTCTCCAATTTTTAAAAACATGAGTAGTTGATTCTACACGCAGCAACATAGCTAATACTTTAGACATCTTGA